TTACTGAATATTAATAATTCTGTGTTAATAATTCTGTGTATTATTATTACTGAGCATTATGTATATTGTGTATTATTAATACTACTGAGGATTATTATGCAACGAATGAACCCTTGTTACAGTGCAATATAAGCACTACCTTATTATACTAAAAATATATTTTTTTAAACTGCACAGTAGCTTAAATGAAGAATCCCGGTGGATACCAGATAAGAAGTCAAATTATTAACAAACAGTTTGACTACCTACATGGGGGGGGGAGGGGGTAACAGGGCACTCACGGAACCATAACCACTACAACATATTGTCGTGGTGATGGTGTTTGGAGTGTTCTATTACATAAATGACTAAGTATCTAAATGACCTACTGCCAAATGTTTAACTGCACATTCCATAGTCCTTGCTGAGCAATAGTGATGCTGTCTTTGAAAATATTGGGAGGGACAGGATTGGTTGAGAAATCTCAGCCATTTCTTGGTTCAAAGATTGGAAACTAACTTTTCTTCTTTTCCTTGAATTTGTTTAAAAAACATTTTTTATTTTTTTTTATAATTTTTGTTCTGCATCATCGTAATGCATTGTTTATGAAATATATGAACACAAGGGGTGCACTTTCCCCACTGTAGCTTCTACTTTACTCTAAGTATCAGGAAGCTGTAGGAAGGATTGTATATCTCTATACAAGCTATAAGCAGTATATCTTATGACCAATGCAGGCCTGACTGGCATTGTGCAATCTGCATGCTCGAAGCAGGAGGGCGCACGGAATGGCATGCCAGAGGCCTGGCTGGGGCCCTTTTACTGCTTGACGATATGTAGGCATTCTCATATGGGACTTAAATGAGGTCCAAACAATTAGCTACAAATGCTAGAAAAACGCAGGGATCCATTTTCTGACAGACTCTATAAAAAGAAGGCCTACAATTCACAATACGCCACTGGTGGGAAAATGTGTGCTTGGCAAAATTCCAAAGGCCGCCACAGAAAGAACTTGTTAGGTTTCTATTTCTGTGTTTTCCTTCTTTGTTGGTGGGTTATGACAGAATAAAGCCCGCTGTATGATTGGCCAGTTATTGCTGTTTTTGTTGTTTGTTGTTTGAGGCCTGTAAAGTATCACTTTTCGTTCCCATGGGTCTCCGAGATTACCACTAAGGCAGGATTACCCTTTAATATCTACCTGTTCCTCAATGACATTGGGTTCCTGGGGGCAGGAATAAATGTGTGGTCTTCGTACATATAGTCTGATTTAGCAAACCCTACAAAGTAAATAAGGCAGGAACAGATCCTTAACCTGTGACAAGCAGCTGTGCCATCGTCATCATCAGATCATAAAACCATTAATGGGAACCGACATCTGAAGTTGCCTTTTTACTCATTTTTAATTGTAAAAAAATAATTGCTGCCTTTAAGCTGATGACAGATCTGTTTGCACTTGCCTGAGTATTTGCTTTGGCAGCATTTAAAGGTAAGTATCGTCACATTCATATCAACACCTGCCCAGGAGGCCACAGCCAATAGATCTGTGTTCAGGTAAAGTCTTGCAATATGGAGTAATGCCCCCATGTAGAGGTTATAGTCAGAGGCCGGGGGGCTATAGTGAGGGTGGGATAGGGGCTTGGTATTCAGACCAAGAGAAATCTTTTGGGGGGGAGTTGTTAGTTAGTGTGTCCAACCAATCCATTTTAAATAAATAAGCAAGCTTGGT